AAGTTTTGGATCGTCTCATCTTGTTCCTGGTTCTGATTTTCTAAGTTTTGGATCGTCTCATCTTGTTCCTGGTTCTGATTTTTTAAGTTTTGGATCGTCTGGTTTTGTTGCTGGTTCTGATTTTCAAAGTTTCGGTTCCTCTTGTTTTGTTCCTGGTTCTGATTTTTTAAGTTTTGGATCGTCTCATCTTGTTCCTGATTTTCTAAGTTTTGGATCGTCTTGTTTTGTTCCTGGTTCTTATTTTCTAAGTTTTGGATCGTCTCGTTTTGTTCCTGGTTCTGATTTTCTAAGTTTTGGATCGTCTCGTTTTGTTCCTGGTTCTTATTTTCTAAGTTTTGGATCGTCTCGTTTTGTTCCTGGTTCTGATTTTCTAAGTTTTGGATCGTCTCGTTTTGTTCCTGGTTCTGATTTTCTAAGTTTTGGATCGTCTGGTTTTGTTGCTGGTTCTGATTTTCTAAGTTTTGGATCGTCTCGTTTTGTTCCTGGTTCTGATTTTCTAAGTTTTGGATCCTCTCGTTTTGTTCCTGGTTCAGATTTTTTAAGTTTCGGTTCCTCTTGTTTTGTTGCTGGTTCTGATTTTCTAAGTTTTGGATCGTCTTGTTTTGTTGCTTGTTCTTATTTTCTAAGTTTTGGATCCTGTCGTTTTGTTCCTGGTTCTGATTTTCTAAGTTTCGGTTCCTCTTGTTTTGTTCCTGGGTCTGATTTTCTAAGTTTTGGATCGTCTTGTTTTGTTGCTTGTTCTTATTTTCTAAGTTTTGGATCGTCTTGTTTTGTTGCTTGTTCTTATTTTCTAAGTTTTGGATCCTGTCGTTTTGTTGCTGGTTCTGATTTTCAAAGTTTTGGATCCTGTCGTTTTGTTGCTTGTTCTTATTTTCTAAGTTTTGGATCGTCTTGTTTTGTTGCTTGTTCTTATTTTCTAAGTTTTGGATCGTCTTGTTTTGTTGCTTGTTCTTATTTTCTAAGTTTTGGATCGTCTCGTTTTGTTGCTTGTTCTTATTTTCTAAGTTTTGGATCGTCTCGTTTTGTTGCTTGTTCTTATTTTCTAAGTTTTGGATCCTCTTGTGCAGAACCTGGTTCTCAGTCTCTAAGATTTGGGGAACCATAGGTTGAAATTTTCCAAACTGACGGCAGCTCATTTTTTCTGTTTAAATATGCAGTAGAGAGAGAAAAGCTCTAGTGTAAACGCGCAGTAGTAGCTCTAGTAGCAGTACACGCAGTAGTAGTAGTACCTCAGACTCGCAGTAGTGGTAGTACACGCAGTAGTAGTAGTACCTCAGACTCGCAGTAGTGGTAGTACACGCAGTAGTGGTAGTACACGCAGTAGTCCTAGTACACGCAGTAGTCGTAGTACACTCAGTAGTCGTAGTACACGCAGTAGTCGTAGTACACGCAGTAGTAGTAGTACACGCAGTAGTCGCAGTACACGCAGTAGTCGCAGTACACGCAGTAGTCGCAGTGGATGCAGTAGTCGTAGTACACACAGTACACGCAGTAGAAGTGGCAGTATTCTGTGTCTGTAGTGTTTGTTTTGTGTTACACTTATAATCTTCTTCAAAACAGTAAGTTGCTTTGTGCTTTGTGCTTGTCCTTTGTGGATGATGTCATAAAGTAGTAGTAGCAGTAGTGAAAGTATTAATAAAAGTATTCTGTCACTTTAGTGTTTATTTCACTGTGTCACTCAGAGTTTACTTTAAAGCAGCGTCGTGCTTCTCTGATGACGTCATCAAGCAGAGTTCTGTCACCATGGAGACCCAGGGGCATTAGAACATCACGTTGCCACGGCGACAGCTTCTCAGGCTCCAAAACTATTTTAGATTCTAGAATGTGATGATGTCATCGTCCCAGAGGGGAGGAGCTAAATCATTTTCCCGGTGATTACGATGTACTTTTCCATCTGTATTAATATTCGATGGAAAAACATGAACAACTGACTTGTTTTAAGGAGGAGATTGAGAAGGAGAAGGAGCAGGTTTTTGGTGGTGGTGTTTTGTGGTGAGTGGAGATGTGCTTCACTTCAGTCACATGGATCATGAACAGTTTTCTCTACTTCAGTGCAGAATAGTGACGTTTGTGTCTTGTTGATGACGTGTAGGTGGATGAATGTGACCTGACCGTTCACACTCAAGTCACATGTCGGCCATGTGCTATTAAAGGCTTTGAATTATTTTGTACTTTTTGAGTGCCTCAGTTTTTTTTCTACTTTTTTTTTCCTACTTTGTAAATCACAAAGTATTTTCATTCTTTTTTTTTTTTGGATTGTTTGTTTGACAAGTGTCCAATAAAAATCAAATCCATATGCTATATGGATTTGATGATTAGTTAATTAGTTAGAAACAATGTGACAAATATTTTAATCATTTATCTTTTTTTTTTTTATCTTAATATTTGCAAGTAAATCAAGACATTTACACTTTTATGTACGTCTGTCTGTCTGTATTTGATTATTTATTCATTTATTTATTCATGTACATACTTTTGGTTTTAAAACACTTACTGAATTGTTTTATTTGGATCGGTCCAGTAATTATAGAAACATTGAACATAAACCAGAGCTAAACATCTGGAGTCTCAAAGTTAAAAACCAAATTCTACCACAGAATTTGAACCTGTCCCCAGCTCAGATTTAAACAACAGAGATTCAAGAGTGGATATTACGCACTATTTATTGATTTATTTTAGCCATGTTGTCACTAGGGCCAAATAAATCCATCCATTCATCCATTTTCTTCCTCTTATCCGGGGTCGGGTCTCGGGGGCAGCAGCCTAAGCAGGGACTCCCAGACTTCCTTCACCCCAGACACTTCCTCCAGCTCCTCCAGTGGGACCTGAGGTGTTCCCAGTCCAGTCCAGAGACATGGTCCCCCCCAGTGTGTCCTGGGTCTCCTCCTCCTCCAGGTGGGACATGAACACCTCCTGAGGGACACGTCCAGGAGACGTCAGAACAGACGTCCTCCCCTCAGACGCTCCTCTCCACGTGGAGGAGCAGCGGCTCTACTCCGAGCTCCTCCCGTGTGACTGAGCTCCTGGGCCAGAGAAATACGACATGTAATATGTGACAACACATCAGTATTTATCTGCAGAGTCATTTACACACACACACATTTACACACATTTACACACACACACACACACACACACACATTTACACACACACACACACACACACACACACACATTTACACACACACACACACACATTTACACACACACACACACACACACACATTTACACACACACACACATTTACACACACACACACACACACATTTACACACACACACACATTTACACACACACACACACACACACACATTTACACACACACACACACACACACACACACACATTTACACACACATTTACACACACACACACACACACACATTTACACACACACACACATTTACACACACACACACACACACATTTACACACACACACACATTTACACACACACACACACATTACACACACACACACACACATTTACACACACACACACACACATTTACACACACACACACACATTTACACACACACACACACACACACACATTTACACACACACACACACACACACACACACACATTTACACACACACACACACACATTTACACACACACACACACACACACACACACACATTTACACACACACACACACACACACACATTTACACACACACACACACACACACACACACATTTACACACACACACACACACATTTACACACACACACACACACACATTTACACACACACACACACACACACACATTTACACACACACACACACACACACACACACACACACATTTACACACACATTTACACACACACACATTTACAGACACATTTACACACACACACATACACACATTTACACACACACATACATGTTTTTGTCACCTTGTGGGACCACCTGACTAGACCGTGCCTTGTGGGAACCACCCTTTCTGAAGGTTCTAGAGCAGCCAAAAAAATCAGGCACTGCCCCCTATAGTTCCTAAACAATAATATCACCTCAAAATTCCAATTCTCCATAAAAAACGAACTCGACCAGACTGAGCACCCACTTGTGGGAACTTTTCAGGTATTTAGGTACTTGTGAGATCCAAACACGCCCACTTTCTGGTTTTTGTATACTTGTAGACCGAAATATACACACTCTCAGGTTTTTAGGTAGTTGCAGGCCACAGCATGCATACAGCAATTAAAACAATGTAAATCATTAAAATAACACATAAAATGCACAGAAACAGAAAAACAACTTTCAAGTTGCTAATTTTAATGACAATGATTTAACAATCAGTAATAAAACATCCTTACTAACGTTGTTGGCAAACTGACAAACATAGTCTTTAACTTTAACTTCTTCGACTCTTTTTAAAGAAAATATAGTCAAAGTGTATTTACCTTGTTGACATGTTTCGGCTGCTGCTGCAAGCCACTGTCCCCGGTGTTGATGTGTTGTATATATCACGTGTTGTTACTTCCTGTGGGCGTGGTCAGCCTGATGGACCTGCAGGTCGCTCAGACTGACCACGCCTCCCGTCGCCCGGTGTTTCTCTGGAGGAGTGTGTGAAAGGAGGAACGCTCCGTCATCAAGTTCAAACGCTGGATCAGGGAGGACCGTGAAATCAGGAAACGAGGCACTGACAGCATTAACTTTGATGAGCGTTCCTCCTCCACACACCTGGAACACTCCTCCAGAGACACCGGGCAACAGGAGGCGTGGTCAGTCTGAGCCACCTGCCAGGTCCATCAGGTCTGACCACGCCCACAAGAAGTAACAACAGCTGATATACGACACGTCACCACTGACACCGAAGACAGTTCTGAAGATGCAGCAGCAGCTGAAACATGTCAAAAAGGTAAATACACTTTACTGTATTGTCTTTAAATTCTTGGATTCTTTTTTAAAGAACACGAGACAAAATGAACATCTTTGGTTTAAACATGGTCAACTGTTTCATTTTTCATATTAAAAATACTTTCTAACATTATTTATAAGCTTCTGAACTTTTAAACTAAGGACAAACTTTTCTTTTGAGAGTTGTAATTCTGTTCATGACATAAGACTTAACTGTCCTCCAGTCTCTGTGTTTCAGTACATCCTTCTCGAGCTGTACACACTTCTCACAGTCACTTTTTCCAGGAACACGACAGCTGCTTATGAATTGCGATAGGTGCCTCTCCACAGCCTGGACCTCTTGCTTGTCCCACATTCTCCTTTTGACTCCTGGGTGATGTGAGGAACAGAGAGATTAATAGAAGGAGAAAATTTTAACATATCTTTATCAAGCTGTGTTCAATACCTTTGCTTTTAGTTTGACTCCCTTTACGGCTCCACGCTCCTTTAGATGTTTTTACAGGCTGAGATGTTGTGTCAGACTCATCTGACATTTCAATCTCCACTTCCATTCCCTGACTGGGAGTGACAACAGCTTCTAGATGACACGGGGACAAATGAAAAATACATCCATAAAAATACAAGTCTATTATGTTATGACAACAAAACATTTGCAGAGTGAAGATTTGTTGTATTGAAAAATATTCATCAATGAAATACCTTCGCATTTTGCTTTTTTAGTTTCTTGGCTTGTGTAGATCTCATCAAGAACTTCAGCCCCCAACTCGTCCTCTCCCTGACTGATGGTGACCACATCCTCTAAACACAGAATGTAACGAGAAAGGAATTAATCCATGTGTAAGAACTGACCACAAACCACCTGCAGAAACAGAATCCTGATGTGTTTCAAAATCAGGTCTGAGGTGTTTATGCCCCATAACCTGCAGGTTCAGCCAACTAACACAGTGTTTCCCAAAGACTGGGTCGCGACCCTCAGGTGGGTCACTCCTCCCTTCTTCTCCACACACCCCTCCCTGCTCCTCTCTTCTTCTCCACACACATCCCTGCTCCTCCCTTTTTCAGCAACACTGCCTTGCCTGTTTTTCATTGTTTAAACTTGAGTAATACCAACTGTTCAAAGACACGATCACTCAGTCAACAATAAAATATCCTCATTAATGTTCAATAATGGTCACAAATTTATTTTGTGATTTACAAATAATGTCTATTGACTTGAGTCGTGAAGATTTGTGACTTTTAAAATATGGGTCCCCAGAAAAAAAGTTTGGGAAACACTGTTGTAACACGGCCAACGAGCAAAAGTGGGTGGAGAAATCAGAAAGCAGCTGTGGCTAAAGAGAGCTCAAAATAAAATACATACCTTGTGACTCAGTATCGCTGTCGGCCATAACAGTGTCTGTCAAAGTAAAAAGAATTATTTAGTTAAACGATGTTTTAAATTGGACAATTGTTTTATGTAAAAATGAAATAAATATATACCCTCTGGGTCAATAGTGATGTCATCTAGGCCCTTGCCCTTGAATTCAGCCATGCGCCCTTGCTCCAGAGCCATGAGAACCTTGCTTATTTTAGCAAGTTGAAGTGTACCTTCAGGAAGTCTGTAGAATTGTCTATGAACTCTCACATCATGCCCCAGAAAATCAGCCAGCTGATCCAACTCTGTGTTGCTGAGGTTTAGAACTTGTGACAAAGTTGCTGTTTGTTTGCGCAGTTTGGTTGAGGTGAGGGTATCTGGGTTTTTTGCTCCACAGGCCTTGGCAAAATGCCGGAGACACTCAGACCCACGATAACAGGAAAATGCATGTGGTCTGGCAAAGAGGTATGTGTTTTCCTGGGGAACTCCACACATGTCCCTTTTAGTGACAAGAAGATCTAAAGATTCCTGCATCGCAGGTGTCAAAAGGACTGGAACCTTTCTCCCTCTCTTCCCCCTGATCTCCAGCCTTCGGAAATGTTGACACAGTTTCTTTTCTAAATCAGAGAGTGCTTCACCCAGGTCTTCCAGCACATCTTGGTTTTTTGGAGACATATATGCTGACAGAGGCATTTTGGACACCTGACCTGATCTTCGTCTATTAAAGAGTATTACTTGAGTCAGAGTGACTTTTGCTAATCCTGCCCAGGTCACAGAAGACACTTCAGTAGACAACATGGAGTAAAGTCTCTGCTGTTCTGCCTCCAAATAGGAATGAAACATCTGGACATCTCTTGTAAAGGGAAGCAGAAGTGGAGCATTCCACTTAGCTTCCTGGAGGGTTCTCAGTGATGCTGCCGATATCATTTCATTCCATCTTGCTTCATATATTTGTCGGAATGTGCGGGCATTTTTAGCTGCATTACAGTCGCCCTGAATGTTTGAACGGCTCTCAACTAACATTGAAATTGTGACCAAGCTATATCCAAGTTTGAGAGCCAGACTTGGGCATTTATATGTATTGGTTCCCCTGTCATAACCAGCTACAATTTTCACTGACTCTACGACATGCATAAAATTTGAAGGAAAAACATGGTCTTCAATGGTGTTTAATTTAGTATTTCTTCTTGAGCATAACAGAAGCCTTCCTAACTCCCTCATTTTTTGACGAATGTATTCATGTTTCCCAGTGTCATGGCCAAAACGGTTAAACAGGTTCTCACCAAACTCCAGGATACACTGATCCGTTTTCACTACAATAGTCACTTCATCATTCACCATGTTGCTTAAGAGCTTCCAGAAGTCTTCATTAAGACCAAGAGGAGGAGGTGCAGCAGTTTTCCCTCTCTTTGGTTGATCGGGAGGCTTAAACTTGCATTTT